CTGTGCCCTCTAATGGGCAACCAACAGAATAGCTGACAGTAGTACTTCCTCTCTCCCTGCTTTTCATACATAATAATGTCTAGGTAACTATGATTTAGGTTAATGTTTCGCTGCTGCCTTAAAAGAGCTTCCTAGCATTATTGATGTCAGCTTAAGAATCTTCAAACCACAGTGATACATAACTGTGATCAGGTTCTTCTAAGGTCTTCAGCGGTTCTGAGTTTGGAGAAGGAAAAGACATGAGAGGAGAGGCATTTAACAACGTTTTATTAATAATAACAGGGTTTTTCTTTACTACAACTTCAATAGGGTCGTTATAACTTGGATTAACATTAGAACTGTCCCACAACATTGGTAATGGACTTAACAGACACCCAGCTCCTAACGGTACGTTTTCCCAAACCGTTCTTGATTCGTGGGTTTCCTCAGCCACCATCCAATCTGTACTGCACAAATTGTCCCGCAGCACGGGTGTCAAATCCACTTCGCTTCAGGAGGTCTTTCTCTCAACTGCAGGTTCCAGCAGCGGTTCACAAATTTCACAGGACCACGTTGTTTCGGATAGACAAGGACAGTCCATTCTTCCTCAGACAGCCCCTCAATGACCGGTTTGACAGTTGGTTTTCCTTCCTCACACGTGCCTTTTATTTCTCTCTCCCCCTCTATATCCTTCCGCAGTATCTTAAACTCTTTAGGACTACTTCTTTCTCACACCATTCTTCCTCCTCTATATCCTTCCGCAGTATCTTAGACACTTTAGGACAGGGGTCTCAAACTCAATTTACCTGGGGGCCGTTGGAGGCAGAGTCTGGGTGAGGCTGGGCCGCATCAGATTTTCCGCAAAGCGGAACAAGAGCCCGAGAAAGCCACCCAAGAATTTCCTTAGCCCAGCTGGGGCTTCAAAGAGGAGGAGGAGGGGGCGCGCGAGCTCTCATCGCCGGCCACAACCCCCTCCGGCTCCTTCTTCACTACCACCACCACCACCAGGACGAAGAAGTGGAGAAAGGAGGGAGCACCGGCGACCACCTTGCCGAGGGGGGGGCATGATATAAAAAATTTTAAAAACCCTCACAGAATTCACCTTGTCAAAGGAGAAAAGCCCCCACTGGTATCATGAAATTAAACAGAATGAGGTGGGGCCCCCCACTGGTGCGCATGTGTGCACATGCACACAAACACACAACCTTCCTCTGAGGGTCCACCTCAAAAAAAGCCACACTTAGGAGCAGCAGCTACCCCCACCACGACAGAGGAGCAAGCCCAGGCAGCCTCCAGAGCCGAGGCAGCTGAAGCAGGACAAAGAGGAGGAGGAGGAAGCACCGCCAGGCGTTGAGGCAGCCACTGGCCGGGCTGGTGCTGGGGGTGCCGAGAGAGAAAGAGAGCCAGAGAGCAGCTTCCCTGGAAGAGGCAGTGGCAGCAGCAGCTGCTGTTGGCGGCTTGGAGGCACTCTTCAAGGACGGGCTGGGAACGAGCTCCGCTCTCAGGCATCACGCGGCAGCAGCTCAGGCACTCGGGAAAAAGGGCCGGCAGCGCACCTCACTTGCTGGCTCTCCCCCAAGACAGCGCCTCTTGCACCCTCCATCCAGACCTGCAGCCTGCCAGCCGGCACAGGCGGGCTGGCTGGCAGGCTGCAGTTCCGGATGGAGGGTGCAAAAGGCGCTGTCTTGGGAGAGAGCTGGCGAGCGAGGTGAGGCTCTTTCTGACTTTTGACAGCAGAGGACGCATGGGCGCTTCAAGGGGGCAGGCAAGGCAGGGGCCAAAAACTATCATCTGTTGAACCACAAATGGCTCACGGGCCGCGTATTTGAGACCCCTGCTTTAGGACTACTTTCTTCATCCCACCATTCTTCTATCACTACTTTCTCCCTCTCCTTTGATATTCCACCTGCCTCTGTTATTAAGAATAAATCCACTGATCTCTGAACTTCTTTTCTTAATCCCTTCCCTTCTTTACCTACGGTCATATCTTTTATCTCCTTAATTATTTCCACCATCTCTGTTTCCATCACTTTCTCCTTTTTATCCTTCTGCTCAGATGTTGGAGAGGACGGCACACTCCTTTCCATTTCCTTTTTCTCCTCATCTTTCTCACAGTAACCTTAATCTCAACTGTAAATAATGAAATGAGCAACAAATAAAAAATAAAATGTAATTTACAGATGGATGTGGTTGGCTGAGATTACAAATGCACATTCCCAATAAAATGAAAAGTCCAGTTCTCAGTGGTGTACAATGCAGTCACAAATAAGAGGGTTGTTATTCTAAGAAACATGTGACTGTGGGGACCAAATAAGGGGTAGCCATTGAAGAGACCAGTTTTGGACAAAAGTGACAGCCAGACACACTGGGTACAAAACTAGCTGCTTAGGCATAAAATTCTCTGAGGGGCATTGGGCAAGTCACGAGTTCATTACCTGACCTACCACACAGGACTTCTGTTAAGACAAAATACAATAACCTTTTTTCAGAGGAACGGTGTGTGGTGCAAACATACCATATAAATAGGGGCATATGATAGATTATAAAAAAAAAGATGGGGCATCTATCCACAGTCACTACACTGTTACTCACGATAGCAATGGATGAAGAAGAATTCATACGATCTAAAATCAGGCCTGTCTGTGCAGTGAGTTCAATGTCCACATGTATGGTCAAATAATCTTCCAATTTACTGTACAGCTTGACAAGGTGAAAGGTTGTCGCCTTTGTTGTTTTCCAGATGTACATATCTCATCTTTCAATACCTGAAAGTCAATTACTGAAACCCAATTCTTCTCTTCGTTCTCATAACAACCCTGTGAGATAGGTCAGCCTGCAAGAGAGTGGTTAGCCCATGTTCAGCCAATGAACTCCATGGTTCAGAAAAGAATAACCGGCTCACCTAAGTCCTACCCCAACATTATAATTGCCACAATGCACCTGTTCTCACAATTTAAAATCATTTTACCCATTTGTACTTTCTCACCATAACTGCTTGCATCGTATATGACTCGACCCGAACCTTTAGCTATGAGTCTGCCCCACTGAATATGCCTCCCTATGATTAGGACAGCTCCTGCCACTGCCCCAAAGGATTGATATAGATTATAATACAGAAAGTGAAACAACAATGCAAGGAGAAACAAGCAAGCAAACAAAGGCTGTTGGCAAAACAAAAGGTACCAAATACAAAGTGGAAAGAGACCTGTTTTACTCACAATTAGCTTTGTTTCATGTAGTCAAGGGGAAAAACATTGACAGTATGAACTCAAGCATTAACAACAGAACAAATGTCCATCTAATCACACTCACAGAAAACATACAGGTATATAATAAATGTTTTTATTTTTGAAACTGTGAAGGATGGTTTTGTAGAAAGCTCCTTGTATCCTAAAATAGGAATCACTATTCTTCTTAGGTTAGTCATGCTCAGTCCCTCAGATGGACAAAAAGCCTTGCAAATATCATCCAGTTTATATCAAGAAATATGTATTATCACTTCCTTTCCAGAATTTAAAGGCACTCCCACAAGCAAAATCCTGCCCCAATTTATCCAAAATTTGATTCCTCCGATGATCTGCAAAGGGACTGCTAAGCCTACAAATGTTATCCAGTTCAGAGTAAAGAACTTTTACCATATATGGAGGAAGAAATACCAGATGTTCAGGTGGATTCAGAAACTGAAGCAGAATTAGAGAGCACACTGCAACAGAACAACAAAGAAAAAGATTACACTGGAAATGTATCATATCCACAATGTTAATTTGGATCCATTTTTCAATTCCAGCTTCCTATTATTTCACAGTGGATAACTTCTTCCTTAAACAGGATATATGCAGCAGCTACACAAGTTACATTCTGCTTCCTTATCCAATATGCATTTTCATTTTAACTCTGTTCCACACAATTCCACTTTCTCCACACCTTAGAAGTAACTGCTGCCAGCAGACACTATGCCTTTGGTTTTCTGGCCTCCCAGTCCCAGAATCCTTCCTGCTTGTAGTTCCATTTGACAGACAGACACCTAAATTACGCTCACCTGGAGGAACACTGGGTTAGCAGGCTCCCTTGTCAGGGAAATGGCTGAATTGAGGGTTAGAAAAGGAAGTTGCCCCAGTACATACTGGGAGTTCTCAGTCAGCAGTAGGAGCAGTTTCCTTTTCCAAGAGGGAAACTAGGCCTGAGCTTGGCCGGAGGCCTTCTTCCAGGTGAGCACAATTAAGGTCTCGGTCTGGCAGGTGGAACTCCCCGACTGGAGAATGCTGGGACCTGGAGTACAAAGCAGCATGCCAGTATCAAAAGCTGAGCAGCCGCAAGAACTTGATGCACAGCCTTGAAGATTTATCAGCGAAAGGTCACTATTGGTTTTTTTTTTTTAGTATTCTTAATAGTTGTTTAAAGGTATCACTTGCGCCTGCATTTGTATTGTTTCCACAACCCTACCGCCTTTTCCTGATTTTTTTCCCCTGCCAACTTTTATGGTGGAAGGTCTCCTGTGCCTCCAACTGTTGCGCCACACCAGGAGCCCCTTCAATAGATTTTCATCATTTTGTTTGCATGACATAATTAAATCCGTCGAAACGTTTGCATCCCACCCTGTGCTGGCTTCGGTTGGGGAGAAACGCTCCCGAAAGATCACAAAATGTTCTTTTTTCAAGGAAAATGTTTTCCGTATGTAACTCCTCTTTACCAAACAGAAAAAAAGCAGACATTCCGTTGCCTTTGGTAAAGCTATAAAGCGTTTTGTTTATGAAGATCTGACCGAATCACCCAGGTGAACACCTCAGTAAGAAGAGTAAGTTGGCTAAGTGCCAAGTGTGTGTGTGTGTGAGAGAGAGAGAAAGCGTCCTAACGCCTGTTTATTATTTGGGTTGCGGGGCCCGAACGCCCTGAAAGCTGCTTCGACCGCTCTTCCGCAGAGCTTTGGCGCCGGTCCCTGGCGCGCGCTGATTGGCCGTTTTGAAAGCAGCGGCGCGGCCCCATTGGCGCGTTGGAGTCGGCTCAGCGCGGTTAATTTGAATCCCTTCCTTGCTCGGCCTCTCACAGCGGCCGACGAGAGTGGCGGCGTCTGCTCGCTCCGTTCTTCTAAGGGGAAAGGGGAGGGGGGAAAGCTTTCTTTTGGTTGGCTCGGGGAGGCAGGCGAGAGAGGAACGGCTCCGAGCAAGCGTGGCCGAGGCTGCGTGGGTAAGGAGGCAGCATGCGCGGACGGTGCCGTCGTGTGTAGGACTGGGTAAGGGGCTGTGCTTTTGCGGGGAGAGGAGCCTGCCTTGGGGGGGAGACCCCAACGGGGCGAGGGGAGGCTGGGGCCGTGCACGTGGCTTTGAGGGAGCCTTTCGTGGGGGGAGGGGGGAGAAATCTTAGGAAATTAAAAAAAATTAAAATAAGTTAGCTACAAATAATTTTTTTTTACATTATTGAATCACTAGCATTACTTTTGAAAGAGATGAAGGATTTAGTTAAAAATAAATATATAATTAAGCCCCATGGACCACGACCAGACCTCTTGCCGGTTAGATTTGCGAATCGGACTTTTGTGGTTGCTGAGAAAGTCAGTTGTAACGTTATCTCTTCAAAGTTATGACCACGACTGGATTTGCCTGCATGTGCTTCCTCTTTCTTTCTCGTGTGTGTATGTGCTTGGGGAAAAGGGAGGTTTTAGTTCTTTCTCCTGGACCTGTAATCCATGAGCAGAATTTTGAAAAGTTACTTAAAAAGAAAGCCAAATTAAAACTCGGAAGCCTTTAGCCCTAGTGGAAGGGTGAGATGCTGGAACATCTGTAGTTCAAAAAGTAAATCTGGTTTTGGCCCCCTATCAGGATGGAGTTAATTTCTTAACCAGAGAGCATTTCTGGGAAAGAGAAGTCTCTCTCTCTCACACACGCACACATATACCTGTAAGTCTGCTCTGGAGTAGATCCTGGTGAGTATCTGACAGTGACTAGGAATCATTCATCCTCCTTGGTCCACACTCACCTGTTTCTTTTTGGTCTTGCCCCTCATTTCACCCGTCTCAGAACGTGAGGGTTTGACAAGCAGGCATTGAGTACCTGCCAGTCCTGTTAGCAAAAGGGGGACTGGAAGCTTGGATGGTCTCAGCAGGATGTTTTAAGCAGATGTTGCTCTAGTTTAGGGAAAGGAAAGGCCTTGGGTAGAATATTGTCCAAAGTTGCTATCTTCCCAGCTTGGAAAGAGCATGCCTACCAATAAATGAAAGGAAGCAGGAATTGTATAGTGATGTAACAATGATGCATCATGTAAGTGTACATCTCCCTTATGTGCACACAAAAACCACTTTATAGATGGCATATCGGGCAAGAACAAAAGAACATTAAAGAAGAGTCTTGGCACCTTAAAGATGGACTGCTATATTTTAATGTGAGCTTTCATGGACAATCCTACTTTGTCAGACATAAGAGGAAGTGGTAGTGAATCTGCAGGGTACTCTATGGAACTTCCTTTAACAAGATGCACACTAGCCTTCTTGGAGGGAACAAGGGGGAAAGTGTCAGAGTGGAGGTGTTATTTCTTCCTGTCCTGTGGGTTTAGATGGTGCACAAATGGTATGTTGAATATCTATCATTTCTGTCCTTGGTCATACATAAGTGGACATTTACTGACCATGTCAGAGTGTTTAGATAGTTCTCAGGGTCATTGGTGGTGGTTGGCATTTTGCTGGATGCAGATTTGTGTGTGCAGTTGTTGCTTTGCTTAGAATGGCTCTCATCTTGCTTCTTAAAATAAAAGGAAAAATAGCTGCAACATCTAGATACAAGCATGGGTATGCAGTGGTAATAGCTATGGCTTGCCTTTTATATGTGAATTCTGAGCCTTTTAGCCTAGATTGAACTATTCTAGATGAAGTAAATTGGAACTAACATAGCTATGGCTTGCCTTTTATATGTGAATCCTGAGCCTTTTAGCCTAGATTTGAACTACTCTAGATGAAGTAAATTGGAACTAACAGAGGGAAATGATCATTTATAAGTCAGCAAAGGAACAAAGTAACTTCCTCTGAACTTAATTTATAGCTCTCTTTATTACTGCTTGTGCAGGAAATAGGTGTACGCATTACCTCGCATTAGCAGATAGCTTTTGGAAACAATGGGAGAATGTTTTTTATATTTTATGCACCTGTACTTTAGAATGCTTACTGTGTTTGTTCTCTTTCAGGTCTAATATCACAGCATAATGGATGACTACACAAAAATAGAAAAGATTGGTGAAGGTAGGTACTTAAAATGTGACACATAGATGGCAGTGGATCTCTGTGGCTTTATAGGCCCTTGCCAACTCAATTATTCTGTGATTTTGTGATAGGCCCGTTTTGTGCTTCTAGTCGATGCCTGGATACATGGAAATAAATCTCATTGATTTCAATTGAGTTTACAATCAAGTTACACATGACGTAGTACTCCACTCAAAATGTCAACTATGAACCTGACTTGTCTGAGAGTTTTTTCTCTTCGGCAGGTTTTTGGATGCTGGTGGTCATACCAGATCTATGATAAAGAGACAACATTAGAGCTCCTTACACCCAACTTATGTCCCTCACAACTCTTCTTTCCACTTAAAAGGATTGGACTTCTAATAATGGAGCATATACATCATGTATACTTCGGGTCTTACTTTCCATGTGTTATGCTTTAGGGCTATTCGAGAATAAAGTGGCAAGCTTCAAATGTTGATGGTGGCAGCTGGGTGAATCATGATTTAACACCCCAGGATTCAACTATGGTTCAGGAACTCCTAAACCCAAGATATCAATTCTGAATCAGATATGGTTTGTAGGAAATCCTTGAACTACAGTTGCTCAGTTAATATGTAGGAGAAAACTATAGTTCAAGAAATCAGAAGTTTTGCTTGAGGGGAGGGTTAATAAGGTCACCGAGATCCTGTAAATTCAGTGTGAAATAATGTAAGCTGTAACTGTTTGTTTTATTATCAGGCTTTGTTATTCATTAAAGCTGGTGACAGAAAATGTGTGTGTGTTTACTGAAAAATACTTAAGTGCTTATGCACTCCGCTTAGTTATCATTTTCATTGTCATCAACACTGGTATTCAAAATCATAAAATGAGTTTTTCAGGATTTTGTGGCTAAATAGCATTTTTAAAACTAGTTTAATTTCTAATTTGGCTAGCTTTGTAGAGCTTGAATCATTTGTTTGAATGACATCGCACTAAACTTCACTTCTTTCTCCTTATTAGGCACGTATGGTGTTGTATATAAAGGCAAACACAAAGCTACAGGTCAGGTCGTTGCTATGAAGAAAATTCGATTAGAGAGCGATGAAGAAGGTGTTCCAAGCACTGCAATCAGAGAGGTTTCCTTGTTAAAAGAGCTGCATCATCCCAATATAGTTTGGTAAGTAGATAACTTAGACTTTGAAAGTGAGGATCTCTCCCCCCTCATCATGTTTTGTTGTTTGTACCCAATGATTTGAAATTCGGTTTAAGCATACAAAGGAATTTGCTATATGTCTCAAGAAGGCAGTGGAAAACCAGGGTGTGTAACATGTGAACCAGAGCACAGAGTGCTGTCCTCTGAAGATGCCGGCCACAGAGAACCGTTAGGAAGAACAACCTTCAGAACACGGCCAAAGAGCCCGAAAAACCCACAACAACCATTTGACCCACTAGGTATTGCTGGTCTGCAGTTTCCAGCAGCCATGTCTATATAGACAATGGTGATGAAAAATTGCAGTTTGACAATATTTGGAAGGTTGTATGACCCATTCCTAGTATAATAGGTAATGCTGGATTTGCTGTTTTCGTGCTACAAATACTTGGCGTTTCTTAAGTCTTGCTAGCAAGGTTCCCTCTAAGACACACAACTGTGCATGTGACTTTGCCCCCCATGCAGCTTTTTTCCTCCTCCATGCAGCCCCTTTGATTCCCGTTGCAACAATCCCACGAGGGGGGGATGGAGTTGTGCGCACATGGAAGTAGTGTGTGAGAGAGGCAGAGACCTGCCCAGGGGGTGAGAATTAGAGGATACTTTGTTTGCTGGTATTTCAGAACAAACATAAAAATATAATGTCTTTGACATAATGATAGTGTTGTACAGTGCTGATAACTCAATTGGGGGTTATAGTACTAATAATTTGGAGGGGCTTCCTATTTTCACCACCTTTAAAGTTATCACATTTTTCAGTCGGAGACTGAAGCATAAATATCTTTTTAAAATCAGGACTCATAAAACTCAGCTTTGGCTGGATCATGCATGTTATTTTTACTATTGGTTATTTGACCTTAATTTTGTGTCGGTGACCTTCCTCATAAAAGTTTCTGTGTTTCTTGCTTACCATTTGCCTGAATTAAGCAGAATCTCCTGTTAAGTTCAGGCTACGTGATATTTCTTCCTTTACCTCCCTCAAATTCTTCAGATTCTGTTGAGGTCAGCAAAAATAAAGCTGCAGGTAAGAATGCTGCCTACAAGCCACATGTAACCCATCTCTGTGTTAAAATTATCAGTTCTTGGTGATCTAATATTGAGAATTAGTGGCTCTACTCAGGTATTGCAAATTTTTCTTTGGCATCTTTCATTGAGTCAATCCATCTCAAGTATGGTCTTCTGTTTTTCTACTACTTTCCAATATTCGTCGCATTTTCTTATGTTCTCATGTTCTCATGATATTCCCAAACTACAATAGTTTCAGTTCAATTATTTTCACATGAGAGATCAGGGGTTCTTTGCTCTGTAACCCACTTATCTGTCTTCCTTATAATCTATTATGTTATCTAATATCACATTTTGAATGAGTCAGTTTTTTCCTGTCAGCTTCAGTGTCCAGCTTTCATATCTGTAGAAAGTAATTGGGAGTGCCATGTTATGGATGATCTTGGCCTTGGTCTCCAGTGACCCATTCCGTGACCTTTGAGGATCTTTACTGGTTGCTTCATAGCTGTCCTTCCAAATCTCAGTCTTTCTCTGATTGCATGGCTGTAGCCTTCATTTGGATTGATGATCAAACCTAAATGTATAAAGTCTTTGACAAAGAAGAAAGTGAGATGGTTAATCTTGGTGTTATGTCATTATGCATTCTTTGGCAGGGTCATCTGTATATCTTAAATTACTATGTTTTTTCCATCAATTTTCACTTCACTTTCATATGAAGTTAATTAGCTTTTTGTATCATGTGTTCCGCAACTAAGTCGAACAGACAGGGAAATGAAATACTCCTTCTACCCTGGTTGCCTGGAAATAAGACCTAACCTGAAAATAAGCCCTAGTATGATTTTTTTCAGGATGTTGGTAATATAAGTCCTACCCCCAAAATAAGCCCCAGTTAAGTGAAACCCCGCCCTCCACCATTGTGCAGCAACCAGAAGAAGATGACATGACTGTAAAATAAAACATACCCTGAAAATAAGCCCTAATACATTTTTGGAGCAAAAATTAATATAAGACCTTGTATATTTTCCAGTGGGAAACAGTTTTTTCTCTCCATGTTCTGTCCTAACTGTAGCCTTTTTATCAGTGTATAGGTTATGCATCAACAGTTTTTTCTCTCCATGTTCTGTCCTAACAGTAGCCTTTTTATCAGGGTATAGGTTATGCATCAGGGCAATCAAATGTGGTGCATCGCCTTGTTTTAGAACAACCCTCAGCTTTTTAAAATGTACAAAGACAAATGCTTTTTGTACTCAGTAAAGTACATACAAATCTTCTTCTGAAATTCTTTGTTATGCTCCAGTGGCCAATGTATATTTGTAACAGAATGTCAAGTGCTTCTTCCTAGTTTGAACCCAAGTTGAACATCTGGCATATTTTGCTCCGCATAGGTAGAAGTCTGTCTTATAAAATCCTAAACTTCACTTTGCTTGCCTAGGAAATTACTACAATGGTCATAAAGTTACTGCAGTCTTTGGCAATAACTGATTTGGTGATTGGAATATATGTTCTGAAATGATGTCAAAATTAAAGGGCTTCATTCAAAACTGGAAGTAAACAAACCAGCTGCCTGTGCATAGGCCCGATGGAGCTCTGGGTCAGCAGGCACAGCTTAGAGAGGACATAGGTCAGGATCTTCTTCCAGTGTATGTCTCCATGTTGTGTTGCCTGTTATGTATCAGTAATTGTTTCAGATTGAGGCAAAATGGCCACCAAAGCTTGGGAGAGGGAAGTAGTATTATCCAGAATGGAGAACAGATCTATTGTTTGACTAATTGTCTGTATCTCTCCTGGTTATGATGGAGAACAGATCTATTGTTTGACTAATTGTATCTCTCCTGGTTATGACTCCCCCATACTTGTTCTGAAGCAGTTTTGTTTTGAAAGTTTCCATTCTGAATCATTGCTCTGTTTTCCAGACTTTGTCATAGTTGCAGTCTTTGTAGCTTGAAGTAGCTCAATTTATCCTATCTATTCCCAATGATTTATTTCTTCCAATTACAGTGGTGCCCTGCAAGAAAAAGATATTTTCGTCTTGTGAGGTGAATTTTCCTATAGGAATGAATTGACAATTAATGCGTTCCCATGGGAAATTTTTTTAAGTCACCAGTAGGGAGCTGGGGAAGCACCATTGGAGGACTGGCGGGTCCCTGCAACCGCGATCGCCGCTTTCAGAGGTCCCCCGGCAGTCTTGTGATGGTGCTTCCCCAGCTCCCTACCTGGTAAGTGACTTTCAGAGTTTTTTCGCCGCTTTCAGAGGTCCCCCGGCAGTCCTGCGATGGTGCTTCGCCAGCTCCCTACCAGGTAAGTGACTTTTTCAGAGTTTTTTTCCTATATGAACGCATTAATTAAATTTCAATGCATTCCTATGGGAAAACTTGCCTTGCAAGATGAAAATTTTGCAAGACGGCAGGTCTCGCAGAACGAATTATTTTCGTCTTGTGAGGTACCACTGTACTTGAGACCAGTTTTCACTTCACTTTCTAGAATTGCAGCTTTTTCATCAAGAGATTCTTCCCTGAAGGAATTCTTCATCTTGCTATCTCTTCTCTATATTCTATTTTCATTTTATACATAGAAATATATTCCCCTGTAGATGTTTTGACATTCCTTATCTAAGTTTGAATTTCCCTTTGGTTTCTTCAATATGTGGAAGGGATCTTGTGGCTCCCATTACTCCAACAGTATCAATTCATTTCCAATGATGATTATAATACTTTTTTTCCCCTGCAGATGACCTGCTGAAAAGTTGCCTTTTAGAATTCTGACTGTTTCTGACACCTTTAAATTTTGCTTCTTGCCTGCCTTTGACAAATATAAGAGTTACATCAGTCATCCATTGAGGCTTTAAAAAAAATAAAAGTATTGAAGCACTCTTGTTGCATTCTGATAATACCTCTGGTTTCAATCTGCAGTTCTTCTGGCTCATGGCCAGTTGAGTTTAATAATACAGTGGTGCCTCACTTGACGAGGATAATTCGTCCCGTTGAAATCGCTGTTAAGCGAAATCCTCGTCAAGTGAAATGAAAAAGCCCATTGAAATGCATTTCAATGCGTTCCAATGGGCTAAATACCTTAGCGCCCAGCGAAGATCCTCCATAGGGGCGGCCATTTTCGGTGTCAGTAAAGCAAGGAATCCATCCTAAAGCACAGCGGGGAGCCATTTTACAGCCGCTGATCAGCTGTTTCAGAATAATCGTCTAGCGAAAAATCGGTTCCCGAAGCAGGGAACCGATCATCGTCAAGCAAAATTTCTCTAAACATCGTTTTGCGATCGCAATTGCGATTGCAAAAACCTCATTGTAAAATGAATTCATCGTTTAACAAGGTAATCATTAAGCGAGGCACCACTGTAGAGTGGTGTCTCAGCGATTGCTCCGTTGAGTGACGAAATCGCTTAGCGATTAACTTTTTGCGATCGCTTTGCGATGGTCCCTATGGTTTTTTTTTTCGCTTTGCGATGATCGCGGGGAAGCTATCATGGCAAAGCGACCCTTTTTAAACAGCTGATCGGCGGTTTCAAAATGGCCGCCGGGAAAACAAAATGCCCACATGCTTTTTTCCTTGCTTAAGAGGCAGAGAAAATGGCGCTATGGAGGATTTTCGCTTTAAGGTGAGTTTTTAAGCCCATAGGAACGCATTAATCACGTTTTAATGCGTATCTATGGGCTTTTTAATTTCGCTTAACGATGTTATCGCTTAACAACGGTTTTTCCGGAATGGATTAACATTGCTAAGCGAGGCACCACTGTACTAATATGTTCTTTACATGGATTTTAAATTCTTAAAGAGTGTTGGTTAAATCATATTTTGGCACTGTGATTGTTTTAGTTTTCCATTTCAACTTTATTGTAGTTTTTATATGAACGGTTGATCATGATCTGTACCACAGTTCATTTCTGGTCTTGTTTGTTTTTGCAGAGATGATAGAACTTCTCCATTTTCTGCTTCTGATGATATAGTCTATTTGATTTCTGCAATGTCCATCTGGTGATACCTATGCATGCAGTCATATATGCCAAAGACAACCAGAAGTATTTGCAATGAACAAATTATTGCTTTCAGATAATTCTTTCAAGTGGTCTACCGCCTAATTCTTGACTCTGTCTGCTTTAGTTCCTACTTTTACATCCCAAACATCCATGAGGATCAGTTCAAACTGTTTTGATGGGTGAACAAGTTGTTATTTTTACATCCCAAACATCCATGAGGATCAGCTCAAACTGTTTTGATGGGTAAACAAGTTGTTTTTGGACACCTGCATAAAAGCTTTCAATTTCTTCTTCTACATTATCTGTTGTTAGAGCATGAATTACATTTATATTGGTAGGCTTACCACGAAGGCTGATTTTGTTCAGTGAGATGTTACATTATATCACATCTTTTTGGATTATGTTTTGTCTCACTGTCAGAGAAACACTGTCTTCTGGGTTTGTTGTTTTTAGGGTGGACACTGAATATATCGTAGTCTAGTCAATTCTGATTGATTTTCCTTTTGTCTCTATGCACATCAACAATAATGTATTTTGGTTTTGAATTTCTGGGTTTGTTGTTTTTAGGGTGGACACAGAATACATCGTATTCTAGTCAATTCTGATTCATTTTCCTTTTGTCTCTATGCACAACAATAATGTATTTTGGTTTTGAACTAGCTGCTTAGTTAACAGCACTCACTGTTCTTATCCTTCTTCCATTAGCTGAGTATTTTCACACCTAGGGCATCTTATCTTCCAGCACTATCTCTTGTTTAGTTTGGATGGTCTCATGGGGTTTTTGAGGCATAAATATTGAGAAGTGGTTTACCGTTGCTGCCTTCTGTGCAGTATTAACAAGAATTAGCTTCTATGTTGGTGCCATTGTCTGAAAGCCCCTTCAGTGTCACCTTCTGCTACTGCAGCTATACAGTAGCTGTCCTTGAGGAGTTTTTCCACCTGATCACTGGAAGAAGTATCAGTTTGTATGATGATATGCCTGTCAGTCCTGAAGAGGTTGGGTGCATCTTAGTCTGATGTCTTAGCTTTCAGTGTTTGGCCTTAGGTGACCCTGCTAGGAATCTAGGCACGCAATGGAGTGATGACACTGTTTTCAGCTTTCCTTTTTTTGCATTAAAGCATACACTTAAGAAGTAGTGTTATACTTCATGCCTAACCCAAAGATCTGTGAAAAGATATGCTTTTATTTACATTTGATGTAATACAAATTGAATTGGTTGAATACAACTAACTTTTTCTTGTAGAGAACTGCACCCACTTAATTCAAAAGTTTTCTGAGTTAACTGTTGCTGAGAAGTGTGGACTCCTGAAATCACTGATGTTGCTAGACACATAAGTAGCTATGTGTTATTTTCATTAGTGACTTAATTAAGCAACTATTAGAAAGCTGTAGAATACGTACTCTTTGGCCATTGCAAGATAGTACAGTTCGGAAGTGTATGTGACTTAATAAAAGGAAAGACAGCAGTGGTAGATATTGAATTTACCTATTGTAAGGTATAAAATGTTAACGAGAGTTCATTGCTTTTCCACAAAATGAAACTATATAGTCATGGTATGTGGATTCCTGTGTCACTGTCAGTCCAAGCATATTCTTATAATTATTTGTTAACGAGAATTCATTGCTTTTCCACAAAATGAAACTATATAGTCATGGTATGTGAGCCAGGGGATTCCTGTGTCACTGTCAGTCCAAGCATATTCTTATAATTATTTTTTAAAATTCCTTCTTTAATGAAAGGCCTTAGTCTTCTTATTTTAAAGAGAAGGAAAAAGGCTCAGTTAGTATTTACTTGATTCTTTGTAGCCTTCAGAATTTGTAAAAACATTCAAGCAGGATTGCAACAGATCACCCTTTAGCTCTTGTATTTCCAGTCTTCTAAGGTTGTAAAGTATGTCAGACGTGCTGACCAGAATGCTATTGGTGTTCTTACAAAGTTTGGACATCTTGCTGTTTTACATGGCACAGAAACTAACTGACAATAGGTCTTCAGATTCAAGTTTAGAAGATATAAGTACAGATTTCACATGTTATACTGTGAATGGGTAACGATTCCCCTTGACATTTTTAGTCCAATCGTGTCCAACTCTAGGGAGCGGTGCTCATCCCCGTTTCCAAGCCATAGAGCCAGCGTTTGTCCGAAGACAGTTTCCGTGGTCACGTGGCCAGTGCGACTAGACACGGAATGCTGTTACCCTCCCACCATAGTGGTACCTATTTATCTATTCGCATTTTTACATGCTTTCGAACTGCTAGGTTGGCAGGAGCTGGTACAAGTGATGGGAGCTCACTCCGTTGCGCGGATTTGATCTTATGACCACTGGTCTTCTGACCTTGCAGCATAGAGGTTTCTGCGGTTTAACCTGCAGTTATACTGTACATCCCTTATACTATGAATATCCACTTGAAACAGGTTAAGTTTTGATAATTAAATAGGGGTATCTTCATTTAGCCCTCTTTTTTAAAATTTGGTATAAGTGCGCACTCATCTGTTTCCACAATCATGAAATATGTAGTTGTGGTTTAATGGATCCTGCAGGACTAATTTCCAGCAAGTTCATATGTGGGATTCTGAGTGTGGTACGTTGCCAGGGCTGCTTTAGATGGTTTAATTACAATAAAATGTCTCCTGGTTGTCCAGTTAGACAGAGACGACATATTATCTGTAACAAACTTAATGAAAGGTTTAACCTCTTTTTGTTTTTCTTTTTAGTCTTCAGGATGTGCTTATGCAGGATTCAAGGCTTTATCTCATCTTTGAATTTCTTTCTATGGATCTCAAGAAGTACTTGGATTCTATCCCATCCGGGCAGTACTTAGATCGTATGCTTGTTAAGGTATGGAAACAATACTGTAAATTACACTCCTTGAGAGTACTGCTACAACCCATTTTATAAGGATTTGAGAGCCAGTTTGGTGCAGTGGTTGGGATGTTAGAACTGGAGAGACCAGTGTCCTTATCCCCTACTTGGCTAAGACATTTATGGGGTAACGTTGGCCCAGTCACAGACTCTGAACTCTGGAGTGATTGTGAGAATCAAAATGGGCAGGATAGTGATTGATGCTTCTTGAACATTTGGTAAGAAAAGCTTGGGTATGAATGTTAAAAATATAATTTGGTTGCCAGGGAGTCTTTGGTTGTCTTTTATACTCTCCTGTGTCTCATTGGTAGGTTAATAGTTTTGTACTAATTATATAGAAGGACAGTGGGAGCAAGTAATGAGGTTTTAGATTGCTAACTGAATTTCAGAACTAAACTTCATTTTGTATAATCTGCACAACATTATGCTTATGAATGAGCTGGAAATGCAGTAGCGCATACAAGGTTCAGTAAATATAGACCTCAGTGTTGTGTACAGTCCTTTGTATATAGAGTGGCCCCATAGCGACATTTCAAGAGCCCTGTGCAAGTGATCAGTTCAGGCCTCTGGAACACCAGTGTGTTATTTCGCCAGCAGTCTGGCAGTGCACACAGGAAGAAGGAGAAGAGCCCTATTTTAGTCTCTGGCCCCCAAGCTCTGCCAGCATTGGAGTCCAAACCAACTACTGACAAGGAACAGAGTCCAAATGAGAAATTCATATTTTGCCAACCACATCCACCTGATGTTTTTAAGAGCTTCATAAGCAAAAGAAACAAACAGGTGCCCATTCTAAAGAAGCCTTCAATCTCTTAAACCCCAAGTAAAGAGAGTAAGGGGTGAATGTGTGCATGTGCATTTGTACATTCCTTTGGTTGCAATAGGCATGGAACTAAGAGGTTGAGAAAATGTTTTATGGACATGATGTTTCAAACAGGAATTTGAGACAAGAAGTGTTTTTCTCTCAGCCTAAATGGACGTTTCATTTCGGACCTTTAGTTCCTAACTTGCTATGGCTTCTTAAGGAAAAGTGGGGTAAAAACCTGAATGTGACACTGAATTCTTTTCTCCCCTTTTAATTGAGAAAAAATGTGGGACCTTTTTTCTCTTAGCAGCTGCACTCAGGAATAATCAGAAGTGGAAGGGGCAGCCCTTCTGCTGTCCCTTGTCGCCCTTCTCTCTTATTTCTCCCTGAGGGCAGACTGCTCTTGCCAAAGACTTTCCAGGTCTTCTGAAACTAGATGGAGGGCCATAGGTTTATGATGATCAGTAATAAAGTAGTCCTTGCTCTCAGGCTTTCACTAAAAAAGACACAGCACAAAGGAGATCAGGGGTGAAAGCAAACTCAGGAACTACCTCTGAGTTTTGAAAATCATCTGAATCAACTGGAATACAAATGGTCCATGTAGAAAAAATTTCAGATGTTGCTGACATGTCTGTTGCTGGCCCTGCTTCTTTGATGTACCCTAGTGGAATAGTTTCTGCCAGATAGAAGATATGAAGGGAGAATCTGTGGAACGTGGCCTCAGCAGAGCTAATGGAGTTGCCTGCATCCTTCCTCTCCTTATGCTGTTTCATAGTTCCACCCACAGTGCACACTCTTGTCTTGTCCCTTAAATTTGGTGAGGTTTGCTTAAAAGTAACTTCTCCTGTGTCATTTTCTGTTGTCCATCTTGAGAGTAGACCTTGCTTGCATGCTTTTTGCAGTAACAACCTTCTCAATGTGTCGTTCTTTCAGAGTTACTTATACCAAATCTTGCAAGGTATTGTGTTCTGTCATTCAAGAAGGGTTCTGCATAGAGACCTGAAGCCGCAGAACTTGTTAATAGATGACAATGGAGTCATTAAACTTGCTGACTTTGGTCTGGCTCGAGCATTTGGCATCCCTGTGCGTGTTTACACACACGAGGTAAGGTTGGCTCCCTCCCCCCACCCCCAAGTCTATAACAGGCTAAGGGTTTCCATAAGTCAGAATTTACTTGATGACACATGATCATGATGATGATGATGATTCTTGTTCCAATAGCTGGGTGCCTTCATAAGAGGTGAAATTGTTTTACATGTAATGTTGTGTATTAAGAAGCTGCTAAGCATGTCACTAGGGCTCCTGTATCAGAGTCAAAGTCTTTCTAGTCCAGCGGACTGTCTCTTGCTGTGGCTAATCTAAAATCTCAGCAAAGCCCCCAAGCAGAACACAAGGGGACCTGCCCTCTCTGCTTGCTCTCCTGTCCCATCTCCACCAACCCCTGGCAGACAGATGTGCACTGCATCTGCAGCCTCCATTTGGCTGTCTTTGTGAATAGCTCTCCCCTCACTATTTCCTTTTGTAATAAATGCCATCCTTCTGTGGTTCGAGTGAAGAATTGCTTCCTTCTGCATCTCCTGATGCCACTGACTTGCCCCGTCCATTTGGTGAGGCTTAGTTTTAATGAAATGAAACTCTCACTCCTCATTGTACATAGCCTTCTAATTGGAAACAGGCCACGGTGCAGTTCAAAGTTCAGACCTCTGAAGAGAGGGATCCATCACCTTCCTGGCAGCTTGTTGGGTGGGGGAGGCAAAAAAGGAGCAGGAAAAAAAAAGGAAAGAGGTGGTTTTGTTCATTTTTGCTCTTTGCCAACATGCTGTGCTAGGCAGATTTACCTTGAAAGGATGTCGCCTTCCATCGATAGAGCAATGGAATGGGCGCCTCTAATTTTCCTGCCACAATTTATATTTTCTAGACTTAAATTTTCCACAACATTTGAGCCTTCCTCGTGGAAAAGATGCTGTAACCTGGTCGGTCCCTTAGACAACTGGAACCTACTGAGCATTTCATATACACCTTCCATATGATGGTGTTTTCTTGCCACACACCAGCTAACATGGTGTAGTCCATAATGTTGGCTTTGGGCTTGGAAGACTGGTGCCCCACTCAGCCGTGAATCTCCTGTAGAGGCCCGAGGCAGAATGCAATTGCTCAGTCTGCTTTGCATGGTGGCTCTGGGGATAAAACGGGCTGAACTTCTTGGAGGAAAAGTGGGATATAAATGAGGTTGTAAATAATCAATTCTGAACTACAGATTTAGCAAGTATGGGAGGACCCTGGTATCCGCCCAGGCGGTATCTGGTTTCAGCTCTCAGCAGTTGCTACGGCTGCAACCCAGGCCATAGTACACCTCTTCTCCTCCCCCTGTCTCTTGCTTTTCAGAAGCACAGAATCTTCTGATCTTCTTTTGTATAAAAAATCAGAAGATGCTGTGCTTCTAAAAAAAGAGGTGCAGCTTCCAGAACTGATGTGCGGATTCTGAGAATATGGCATGGTGTATGTTGGAGTCAGATGGGATTGTTATGAAACATCTATAAGCTGCTCCAAAGCATGTCAGATTTGTGCTTCAGGCTTCTGTTTAAAAATCTCCTAATAACTACTTCCTTGTGTGCTAGGTAGTAACATTGTGGTACAGATCCCCAGAAGTGCTGTTAGGCTCTGCACGTTACTCTACACCTGTAGATATATGGAGCATAGGTACAATATTTGCTGAAATGGCAACAAAGAAACCGCTTTTCCATGGAGACTCAGAAATTGATCAGCTCTTCAGGATCTTCAGGTATCTAATCTGAAGATGGACCGATGCATTCATGAATCCACAGATTTATGTATGACTCATAAGGCTGCAGTTTGTATGTACTTGGCTGATCCTTTCAGATCACTCTTTGTTGAAAGGTTGCCTTCTGTCAGTTTCAAATGATGTAAATTTAATCTTTGCTGTGCAATGAACCAAGAACTGTATCTTTTTTGTTGATGTGTGATGGCCACCTGCTAAATGATATGCATATTGTTATGGTTCTGAATTAAGCGGGATCTTACTTTCTTGGGAGTTATTTCATACTGAATTCAGAATTAACTTACTAGTAGTTATATTTAGAATTCCCTCCTTAATGACCTGGTTCTGTAAGCTACTCTACATGTGAATAGGTCAGAATTGGGCTGTTAATGACCTGGTTCTGTAAGCTACTCTACTGGGACATGTGAATAGGTCAGAATTGGGCTCCTTGTGGCCCTGTAGATGTTGTTCAGTTCTAGCTGTCATTAACTCTGGTTCGTGGCTGTGATGGCTGGAGCTGATGGAGAGTCAGCTCACCCACTTCTTTATTGGTACAGACTAATGACCATGGAGTTGGCATTGCAGCCAGGCCCAGCATTTTGGTCAAGACCCCTGTTCTGAGGACTGCTGCTGGATGCAGTGGAGTGATTGGTTGCTTAGACTGCTGGGATGGTGGTAGATTGTGTTCAGCTGCTCTGCTGTTTAGTTTGACAGCATAGGTTTTGTTTTACTTCCATAAAAAAATTTACTTCACTGTTTTTAAAAATGTATAATGCCGCCCAGAGTAGACCTTTGGTCTAGATGGGGTAGAAGTCAAATAAATAAATAATAAAATAATAGGTGTTGCTTCAGTTTGACACCAGTCTTACTGACAGATATGTCTTCAGAAGCTGAGGATTTGAACACAGAGCCCTGTCATTGATGCCATGATCCATGGGATTCTTGTGTGTCGCTGCTATAACCTACTGCTAGGGAATTTGCAATAACTGTTCAGCAGAAGCTGTTCAGTGGCAGTTTACGCAAGGTTATTGAGTCAACTCTGTTTATTCTCTCTCAGAGCTTTGGGGACACCCAACAATGATGTGTGGCCTGAGGTAGAATCCTTGCAAGATTACAAAAACACTTTCCCCAAGTGGAAACCAAGCAGTCTGGCCTCACATGTCAAAAACCTTGATGAGGATGGACTAGACCTGCTCTCTGTAAGTACAAAACACATTGTCCTGAGGCAAGTTAAACTTTGCTCTATGTGGCTGAAACATTCAGTATCCACATAGCTGATAAGACAAATGAGCGAGATTGTGAAGGGTGTCATTGGCTCCTGGTACATGCAGATGAATTGCTTTTCAGGATCTTAGAAACTACAATACAAAAATAATGCTTCAAAGTCCTGATTCCACAAGAGGGTAAAGGTGTTTATTTGTTTACGTTGTATTAACTTACATAATGTAAAATACTGGGAAGTGTTCTGCTAGATCAGATTAAAGTTCTTATTTAACTAGGTGTCCACTGAGATGCTTCTTAGAAGGCCACAGTATAGCATGATGGTTAAAAGCCCTCCTTTGCTGTTGTGTTCTAGATAGGTGGAGCTGTATTTTATGTATACTACTGTTGCTTTATAGATCTCCTGCCTTGGTTCTTAGTTATGGCTGAGGGCTATTGAGGGACTTTTTCTTCATGAATTTCTCTTCTGTGGATTTTTCTAGTGACTTGTAAAGCCAGCTGAGCCAGTGGTCATCGCACCTTTAATCACAAACTCCACAAAGTTGTATCACATTTTTTGTGTTCAGATTTCACTACGTGGTCCTGTATTCATGTGAGAGTATTTCTCTCACTGTGGTTTTTCAAGACTACAAAAATGTGATTGCTGTCAATTCTCAATCCAACCCACATTCCAGCCTTGCATAATTATTACACTGGAACTAGAGGGTGGTTCTGTTATCATTTGTTTCCACAAATGTTTAATCGCTTGCAAGAATGAACCTCTATTGCATGATGGATAAATGGTTGTTCCTTGTTCCTCCTCCCCAGAATGGAGGGAGGTGGAACCTGGAAGAAGCTCTTTGTGTTGTTTTTGTGTTTTTTCATTAATTCCTAAGAGAGAGGCTCCTGAACCCTAAGGATTTGTATAAATAAAGAAGGGGCTGTCAAAGGGACAGGGATACAGATGTCCCAGTTGGCAGTTTGTTGACCTCCAACCCAGGACCTACTCAAAACAACCCCCTTTCCCCAGAACCGGCCATAGAAACAACCTGGGCAACACTAACCAGGAAGAAAATGCCAAGGAGTGTAGCTCTAGAGACAGTGAGACCACACACAGAGGCCCACATAGTGGTATCTATGCTGGTAATGGGAGGTACCCTTAGCAGAAGGAGGAAGGAATTAATATACCTGTGGCAGGTCTCGGTCTCTCTCTCTCTCTCTCTCTCTCTCTCTCTCTCTCTCTGGACTGAATGCTTTATATAGTGAGGTATCTGCCTGAAGTGCCTGCTACATAAATTATGCCCACCTGAATCAGGTTAGGTGCATTTGCACCTGCTTTTGTATTTTATGAAGAGACATATCAAAGAAATGGGTCTCAGGAATGGCAGTTCATGTCCTGAAAAGGTTTTCTTTGCAGTAACTGAAAATTTAATTGGTACAGTGGGGTCTCTACTTAAGAACTTAATCCATATTGGAAGGTGGTTCTCAAGCTGAAAAGTTCTTATGTTGAATCTGCATTTCCCATAGGAATGCATTGAAAACCATTTCATCTGTATCTGCTCTTTTCCGTCCATAGAAACTACAGTAATAAACTAAAAATTAGGCATGTGCCTTTGTTTTTCTGCTTTGTTCTGTTCCGAAGTCCCAGAAGCCTCTAATTAAGGGGAGTGTAGCTGAAAAAAAGACAAACTGTGCAAGAACAGACCAAATACGAGCAAATAAACATGCCAAAATATAAGCAATCAAGAACCAAAACAGTAATCCTGATTCATTGATCTTCATCAGTAAGATACTGCTCTTGTCAGCTGTTTAGGCTCCAACAACAACAAAAGAGAGAGAGAGAGAAAGAAAGGCAGCAGGAATTGGTACTATCAGAAATAGGTTTATACTTGACAACGCACTGCTTCCACCCAAACCGGCAAAATATCTCTACTTACCCTTAACACCTAAACAAC